CTAGCATCTTTTGCCCCACACAATGGATGAAGCCCCAAGCTGCCGCCTCCCCTCAGGGAGAGAGTTCTAGCTCTGAAGGAGGAGAAGGAGTTCCTTTCGGCCCCCGGGTGGATATTGCTAGGGTTCACTCCCCACTTTATTCTACCCTGCCCCCTCCCTTCTGGCCCATTCCCTCAGCCACTGCAGTGAAATCACCCTTAATGCCTCAGGCCTGTTTGGTTCACTTCCTCCTCCAGGAAGCCTTCTATTGGACTCACCCCATCTATGGCTGAGGAAGCCCTGGAGTTGGGAGCCAGCTGCCCCATCCCCTGTCCCCCTGGGATCCCCAGCTCTCCTCCTGGGCTCTTTCTGTCTCTGCATAAAGTTCTCCTGCCCAGAGCGCATACAGTGCTCAGGTAGGAGGCCAGGGCAGGAGTCCTGCCTCCAGCCAACTGAGGGTAGCAGCTCTAGGTTTTGGTCCTCACCCCTCAGAGAGGAAATCCCTCAGGCCCCAGAGGCGGAAGGTGGAAACAGAGAAAGCTGTGGGTGCAGAAGCACCCTGAGGAACTCAGTATGCTCCGAGGGGTGGAGGCTGTCAGGCTGGGGCTGGCCCCTGGGGGTGCCCTGTGAGGACACTAGTATGCAGCAAAAGCGCAGGTAGCCTTTGTCACTGCGGGAACATCTTTAACACAGGGAGCAGAGTCGTGGTGGAGGGGCTCCCCCTCTGCAGACTCTGGTCTCTGGGTCAGCTGTTGGGTGTGACACATTCACCTGGGTGGGGTCCACATGGAGTGACACACAAGCAGGCATGGGGGCGCTGACACCCCTGGGTTCCAGTCTGGGTCAAATCTCCAGGGCTTGTTGACTCTAAATAAGGTCGTGGCTGGAGGGAACTGGCTGCAGGAGGCCCTGGGGTGAGGTTGCACCCACAGGGTCCCTGGGAGGGCACACTGAAGGGAGTGATGGTGGGGGGAGGGTCCCGCAGGGGTGGGCCATCACTTGGGTCTGGATGAGAGTTAGACAACTTGAGACAACTGGGCTCAGGTCTCCAGGCCTGAGCTCTGGACTCCAGGGGGCTCCAGTCACTGCGAATTTCTGGGCCTTCGTGACCCCTGCTTTGCCCCAGGGGAGAATCTGGATCTCTGCCCTCCCCCATACCTCCAAGACGCAGGGCCTGCAGGGCCTGCAGGGCCTCCTTGGTACATCCGGTCTCACTCAGTTTCTCCTTGCTGGAATGCACTCCACCCCTCAGTGCCTGCCTCAGGCCTCTGGAGGTGCCTGCTCACGCCCTGCTCTGCTCCTAAGCACCCCAGACCTGCCCTCTCTGGACCTGCCCCCTCTGTACTTGCTCTGTTCTGGGTGGGTGCCAACTCCGTTCAATGCAGACCTAGCTCGGAGCTGCCCCGTCAGGTCACTCCCACTATGGCCTAGGTAACAAGAGAGGGCCAGCTTCTCTCCATACACACCCTGTTAGGAGCCTCTGGCTCTGCTTGGCTGGTGCTGGCCAGGCCGGTTTACTCCAGTGTGGGGCTGTCTGAGAATCTGAGAATTGGAGAATGACCTTGGCAAGGACAGATGGAGGGGGCTCTCCCTCTGGTCCTCAGAACCTCACCGCTTTCTGTGCCCCAGACATCTGGGCACACCTAGGAAGCCTACAAGGGTAAATAATCCAGCACCCATGGCCATGCCAGGCACTTACCCTCCCCCAACTGTACATACACAGACATAAGACATCACCTGACCGCATACCCATGTTGTCCCCATGAGCACGCACACTCGTGCACACACACACACATTCACCCTCAGTCTGAATGTAAAAGCATGCACATATACGGTCACATTTCCTCACTCTGATCATACACACATGGAAGCTGTCACACACATATTTACACATATCCGCACCCGAGTGGGGGAGCACACACGTCCTTCCCCTGCATTATACACACAGACACGTGTAAGGCACACATGACATGTGCCCACTGACGTGACACACACAGTGTTATGTATTTCTCCATCCTGAAAATGCACATACTTGGCCTTGCCACACATATTCCCTAAGAACACTTGATCATACATTTCCTCATGCTGAATGTTCTGGTACACATGCTCGTACTCCAAACACGCACATATTCACACAGGAGCGTGTATCACAAACACACACTTGGGCCCGTGGGGAGCTCTCTCTGAACTTGGGGTCTCAGAGCAGGATAAGGGTGATGACCGAGAGGTTCCTGCAAGGACACCCCTGCCCTCTCCGCTGGGGTAGCCTGGGCTGGGGACCCCATCCCTCCATCTGCAGAGGTCGCTCCTCGTCCAGGCAGTCCACCACCTCACTCTGCTGGACCAAGAGCCCCCTTGGGTCTTCCTCAGTCTCGGTCCTCCCCTTTCCCTGAGCCTGAGAAGCAGAGCCTGGGGACCCAGCAGCCCACCCCAACCTCACCCTCTGGGGATTTGTACTCACTGACACGGGGGTGGGTGATGTAGTTTCGGGTGACCGCTTGCATGTGCTCTTGGGCTATGCCCAGGTCACAGCCACCGCTGGGGAGCCCCCCGGGCCTACTGTCTGCCTTCGTGGCCATGGCGAGGTGGCAGGCCGGACCCGAGTGCCTGAGCCTGCTGGTGGTGAGTGCAACACTTCGGGCCCAGCTGGAGCCGGAGTGAGCTTACCAGACTGCCCCTGTGGCCACCCCTCCCCTCACCCCTCCTCTCCTGCAGGAGTTGACTGTAAACAGGGAAACCAGCCTCTGGCCCTGGAGCTCTTCCAGATCTAGGAGGTGCTGGTGTGAACTCAGCTCCTCCCCCTGGAACCTCAGGCGCTCTCACAGGCCCTTGCTCCATACCACATCTCATCCTGTTCTCCCCACCACATGCAGTTTCTGGCAGGCTGCCCTCTCTCCACATCTTTTCCTTACGGCCCCCCCTCCCCCTGACCTGCCCTCACCCTGTACCCCTTGCCCTAACCATACCTACATACTTCTTCCCCTGCACAATTCAATCATCACCTTCTTTTTTTGAACATCTATAGAGGATCATTCTTGTGCCAACTTCAGTGCCACCTCCTACAGGAAGCCTTCTCAGCACTCCTGATTCACCACATATGTGGTGTCTTTCCTTTGTCATGCCCTTTTGGAGAATTCTCTCTTGTCACTGCTGCTAGGCTCTGAGCCCCCAAAGAACTGAGTTTGTCTCCTGCATCAGACTTGGGTTTCTTTAAGCCTTTCTCTCTCACAGTATCCAGAACTCCCAGGGAAGCAGGGCAGGTCTCTCTCCATCTGGGCAGAGGACTCTGTCTTACCTCTTTATATTTCACCTGTACGGTCTCATGGGGCAGGTCTATCCTGACATTTTTCAGCCCAGAACAGAAAGTACAAATGGAGGAACCCTCTTTGTGTGAGTGGCTAAAGGAGTTGTGTGTTCCACAGGTCTGCTGGACAAGGCAAGGTAGACACTAGGGGCTGGCTGAACCCAAGGTCTGCCCTGGTCACCCCATGTTTTATTCCAGACTCAGGATGTCCTGGCATTTCTAAGCACCTCCCCAAACTATACTGCCAATGCAGAGGGAAGGGAGGAAGCACAGTTGTTTGGGGATCCCTGTCTGGGTGACTAAGGACAGCCAATCTGAAACCAAACGTGTTTCCAAGAGCAGACTGGAACAGACTGTGCCCGTCTTTTTTCCCGAATGGCGTTGAAATGTCACCTCTGGCCTCTGACTTGAGGACCCATTTCTGGTCCCTGGGCCCTCTCTCACGATTTCCATTCTTTCAAAGAAGTCTCGTGGGTCAGGGGTGACTATGAAGGGGAGAGCTTTGTGGTAATAGGCAGTGCTACATCTTGATCGCAGTGGCGGTTCCACAGATCTTACACAGGGGCCAAAATGACAGGGAACTACACACACACACACACACACACACACTCACACACACACAGTGCCAATGTCAATTTCCTGGTTTTGATATTACACTTTGGTTATGGAAGATGTAACCACTGGGGGAAACTGGGTGGAGGGTACAAGGAATTCTCTAAAGTATCTTTGTAACCTCTCGTAAATCCACGGTCATTGCAAAACAAAAAGTTAAATACAAGTGTCTTACTTGAGGGAAAAAAACCACATTTTTTTTTAAAAAGTGCTTTGTGTTGTGGGGATTGTGATGAGCACGCCCTCTTAGGCATGTGGGATCTTGCCCGGATTTACCTCTTATATCCATTCTCTGGCTCTCTTCTAGATCCTGATCTCACCTTTCATTGTCTGCCCTCCTTTTTTTTTTTTTTTTAATGTTTATTTCTGAGACAGAGAGAGACAGAGCATGAGTGGGGGAGGGACAGAGAGAGAGGGAGACACAGAATCAGAAGCAGGCTCCAGGCTCTGAGCCATCAGCACAGAGCCCGATGCGGGGCTTGAGCTCACAAACCATGAGATCATGACCTGAGCCGAAGCCGGTCGCTCAACCGACTGAGTCACCCAGGCGTCCCCCCCTTTTTTTGTAATTTACTTTGAGAGAGAGAGAGAGAGAGAGAGAGAGAGAATGCAAGCAAGCCCAGGGAGGGGCAGAGAGAGAGGGAGAGAGAGAATCCCAGGCAGGTTCCATGCTGTTGGGGTGAGGGGGAGGGTACCCAGTGTGGGGCTGGACCTCTTGAACCATGAGATCATGACCTGAGCCGAAACCAAGAGTTGCTTAACAGCCTGGCCTAACCAACTGAGCCACCCAGGCACCTGTCATTGTCTACCCTCTTGAAGAATTTGACATTTCTACCTTTCAAATATTTTTATGTTTCGAAGAGGACCTTGCAAAGAGCAATGCTTAACCAGCAGAAGCGTCCATGTGGCTATCATGGGCTTTGCAATGCCCAGGCAGAAGCTCTAATTGGGAGCAGGAGCGTGGTACCCCATCCCCCGTAACTGTGAACATGGCTCCAGTTTTTCTCCCTCCCATTAGAGGTCTCCTGGCTCAGCCCATTTTCCTTCCCGGTGAGGAGAGGGAGGGATGGGATCGAGGGGCAGTGGTGGTGCTGTGGTGACTCTGTTTCCCTTCTTGTCATTGTTTTCCTTTTATTTCAGTGAGAGGCACACACACGCACACTGCACTCGCACACACAAGCTGCGGGACCAAGGCCTTCTGGGCAACAGTCTCTGAGTTGAAAGGCAGGTGGGGCCAGATGTGAGGCTGCCCGCCTCTCTGGGAGCCTGCTCAGGGCAGTCCATGGGGCAGGGGAGGCAGGGGTGGTGCCGTGCTTGGGGACTCGGTGTGGCAGGGAGGTGGAGGCTTAAATGTTGGCTTTCTTGTCACCGCCGCTGCCGCTGGGGCTGCCCACTCTCCGTTCTAGCCTGCTGTAGGGTGCGAAGGCCGAGGAGCCCAGTTCATAGCAGGCAGACAGGTCCAGGAGTGGGGCAGTGGAAAAGCAGAGGGCCGGTGGAGGGGGTGGCAGGGGCGGGGACGCCGACGCTGAGGTCAGTGGGTTGAGGCACGGGGAGGAGTTCCTGGGGTCACCCAGTGAGGTGCCCCTGTGGCCGGCAGGCAGGCCCAGTGGGCCAGGGGTCAGCGCCAGGAGGCCGGGGGCCCTAGGCACAGACAGCAGCCGGCCCTGCTCCAGCAGCCGCAGGATGTTGGATGTGGCAAAGGCCTCGGAGGCCGAGGAGGACGCCCGCTTCTCCAGGTCTCTGCTCTGGTCTTTCTTCTGCTTGGTGCGGCGGTTCTGGAACCAGACCTTCACCTTGGGTGGAGGACAGGGAGGGGTGTCGGGAAGGGAGAGGGGACAGGCAAAGCAAAGTGGGGTCAGGTGGGAGGAGAAAAGAAGAGGAAGGGCGTGGAGGGCAAGGGGACAGAGAGTGGGGGGAGTAAGGGTGGAGTGAAAGGGGGAAGAAGAGTATTCAGAGTGTCATTAAGGTCTCTCCACACCAGCCTGCTCTGGGTGAACCAGTAAGGGACCCTCGCCCTCTAGTGCCTGCTGCCTGCTGGGTGCTGCTCTAGACTCGGGGAATCAGCAGTGACGAGAGTGGAGGGAATCCTTGATGTGGAGGGGACGGCACAGACAGGGAGGCGGCTGGTGCACAGGAAATGAAAACAAACAGCCGTGACTGTCAGGTGGCTCTGAGTGCTTTGAGCAGCATCTCTCAAATTATTTGTGCCGAGGAACCACTTTTTAAAGTTTTCCAGTCTGTTGTGGACCAATGTTTTTGTCAAATACGATGAAAATGGATCACACTTACTTCCATCTCTGCACTTAACCTGTCCTAGACAGATAAGAGTTTGCTGGGGACAGAACGGGGTGCACAGCAGCCCAAGAACCACCCTTTGAGAGGCACTGGTTTGGAAAAAGGCTGCAGGATAAAGAGGGGAGTGGCCGGGGAGGGGACTAGCTTATTAATGCGTGGCAAACATAGCCTCTCTGAAGAGGTGACATTTGAAGGAAATAGCAGTAAGGGAAGGCCAAGGGACAGGCGGCCAAATATGGTTGAAGGAAGCGTTTGGAAAGAAGAAAACCCTCTATGTTTGTCACTCCCGGAACTCAATTGCTCCTCCCACCAGATCCTTGGGAAAGTGGCTCTGTGTGTGGTTGCATTCCCTCCCCTGCCGGGAAGCCCCCCTGGCTTCTCTGCCCCGGTGAGCAGCCACCCTTTTAGGACCTAGGCACCACCCCACGAACTCCCCAGCTTCAGTTTCTCATCTCAAAAATGGGGACAAAAATACCTGGGCTGTTGAAGGGATCAGATAAGGAAGTCCAGGTAGAGGGCCTCACGTGGTGCCTGGCCCACCCTGAATTGAAGTCATCATTTATTGCTCCCTTCTCTGTTCACAGCTCTGAACTAGTGGGAGAGGACAGGCCCAGAAGTCATGATTCCTGTCCTGGGGAAGCTGAGGGTCCAGTGGGATGGTGGCATTAACCCACTCCCAGCAACAAAGGGAGTGGCAGTAATAAGGAGTGTGACCAATAAGGAATGACAAAGCTTTTGCAAAGTGTCTTGTCCTTCTGCAGCTCCAGGGGTACAAGATAGGGTGGATGTGGGTGGCTCTGGGAGGAGGAGGCTCCTGGAGAGGAAGTGAGGCAGGGGCTGGGATCTGGCAGGCCTATGTCTTGGGCCCTTATGAGTTACATTGGGGCTTGTCAATCTGGGCTGCATTTTAAAATTATCTGGAGTCATGTTTTTCAAAATCCCAATGCCCATGCCACATGCCTACTCACCAAATCTCTAGGGGGAGGGGCCTATGTATCCTTTTTTTTTTTTTTTTTTTTTTAAGTTCTGTGTGTGATTCTAATCTGTGAACTGTGATGGAAGTTCAAAGAACTGCAAAGGTTGGGGAAAGGCACCCTGCCCGTCTACCTCCTACCATGAGTCCCATAGTCCCTAAAGGGCTGATTCATAAGGCTCACCAAACAAGGGACAAACTGAGTGAGAGACAGGCTCAGAGCCTCTGGGCTCATCCCTCCTCTCCTCCAGGAAGCTTTCAGTTCCACCACAGGGGTCACCCTCTCTCAGGGTTAAATCTGGGTACAGGTCCTTCAAGGCCCAGTTCATTTGCATGCTGAGTAGGCCCGGGGTGCTATCCAGAAGCACACTTTCGGAGGCTTTGGCCTCTGTTTGTCTTCTTGGTGCCCTTCTGTGGTCTTCCTGTGGGCTGCCTCTTGCCCCCTCCCTCTCCTGGTTCCCCTGGAACTCAGTGAATGCTTGGTACCTTTCACCCCCTAATCCCTTGCCAGACCACACCGTGGTCCATGAGCCATGGTTTTCAACTGGCTGCCCGGACTAGGGAGGTATTTTCTGGGAGATCATCCATCACTCTCTTTGGGCTCATGGTTGGTGTTAAATCCCAAGCCTCCTTGTTGATTTGGAAATGGCATGAATCTCTAAGAGGCTGCTTCCTGTGACTGTGGGCACATTCCTATGAATGTCACTTGTGTATCTGGGATGGCCCTGGTTTTTGTAATCTGGAAGGTACCGCCTATTCTGCTGTTCTGGAAGAAGCCATCTTGGGGCAGAGGTGATGGGTAAGGGGCTGAGGACAATTGCTGAAGAATCAGAGCTGCTCTTATCCAAGCCAAGTGGTGATGCTGTCAGTATTGGGACTTGGCAGTTTGTCCTCAGCCTGGATCCTGGGAGCCTGGCCTTAAAAAAGTCCCTCATGCCAGCAGAATGAGGGGAGTCCTGGGGCCAGCCTCCCACCTTTCCTTCCTCTACTGCCACATCTTCTTTTCTTGTTTCCTGCTCTGACTGTGGTCACTCATACAACACATGAACAGCAAGCATCCAATAGGTGTAGGCATTGCCAGGTGCTGAAAAAACAGGAATGCCTAAAACTCTGTGGGTCTCAGACACCAGTAGTGGGGGAAATGGACAGGTCAGTAAGTGTTACAAGACAGTAAGTGTTTTGGTAGAAGTAGCAAACAAGATAGTGGAAAAGATCCTGAGGTCGGACAAACCTGGAGTCAATTATGGTTCTCTCCTTAATTAGTTGGAATGGCATGGGGCAAGTTCCTTAACCTTTCTGTACCTCAGTTTCCTTATCTGTAAAATGGGGATTATAATCATGCCTCCTCGCTAGGTTTGTTGTAATCACTCAATGAGCTATAATCATGGATTTAGCAAAGTGCCTGGAGACACTGAAGTCTTTTAAGCAATGTGGTTAATGTGGTCAATCTAGTTTGAGATTATACAGAGGTTAATATAGAGGTTGTCAGGTCTTTCCTAGAAACTCTGACTGGAGCCTGGGGGCTGAGCATGGAATCTAAGCTGGAATCTGTATTTTAATGAGAACCCCAGGGGTCCTACATATAACTGGTCTGCAGACCATACTTTGAGAAACACTGCTTTAATTAAGCCCCACATGTTTTCCTTGAAACAAAGCAGGGTGATAAAGTATAAAAACAAGGAGAACTAGACTAAGTGGGACTATCCTTGTTCTCAGATTTGGAGAAAAGCACATGCCACTCTGGGGTGGGGGGTGGGAGTTATTCTGGTGTGTCCAAGAACTAGATCCCTCTGAGACCCCTTCCTTGCACTCTAGGGCCTCCCTGTAATGCACAGCCTGGGGGTCTGGGCAAGGCCAGGCCCAGAGATCAGTTGCATTCTGCCTGGGCCCCTGTCCGTATATCCGAAGGACACTTCAGCCTGCAGAACTTTGTAAGTGGTGGGAAGGGAAGGCTTCATGGTTCTGCGCACCAGGTCCTATAAGGGGGGTTCTCATTAAAAGTGCAGACAACTTGGGGCACCTGGGTGGCTCCGGTTAAGCATCTGACTCTTGATTTCGGCTCGGGTCATGATCTCACTGTTTGTGAGTTCGAGCCCCGCATGGAGTTCTGCACTGACAGTGTGGGGCCTACTTGGGATTCTCTCTCTCTCTCATTCTCTCTCTCTCTCTCTCTCTCTCTCTCTCTCTCTCTCTGTATGCCCCTCCCCCACTCTCTCACTCTGTCTCTACCACCCCCTCTCTCTCAAAATAAAAATAAGCATTAAAAAAATAATAAAAATGCAGACAACTTAACTGGGCACATAGTGGTTAAGGAAGAGATATGGAGTGAGAACGGGTCCTGAGTAAGTCCTCATTTTGTCTGTCTGGATTAGGACCCTCTTGATGTCCAGGAAGGGGGTAAAGATGCTGGTTGGCAGGAGGAAAAGAAGTGGACACAGAGAGGGAGGCAATCACTTGGAGAGCAGTTGGGGGCATATTCAGGAGAGCACTAGGGGGAGAGCTGCATGTGATGTTGAAGTCCTGGGATCCAACATGGTCTTCAGCTTTCGGTCGGTCGCTATGAGGCCTGGCTACTCCGTGGTCCCTGTTCTTGGACTTACACAAGATTGTGCCTCCTGTTCTATCCCTTAGGAGTCCCTCTATTATTTGAGCACACTTGAAGGAATCTCTTACCTTTCCCACAAAAGAGGCCTGACCAAGACTCCTAGGTAAAATCAGAGAAACACCAGCCCCCGGAGAAATATCTGACATACCTTCCTGACATCTCCACTTGGATCTCAAACTGAACTGATGCAAAACAAAACTCCAGATTCCTCTCCCACCTTCCTGCTCCTCCCCAGCTTTCTCAACCTGTTACATGGCATCACTGACCACTTCTCACCATTCACCAGTTCGAGCCCAAACCATTTCTCTTTCCCTTGCCCTGTGCACGTAAGTCATGATGAACGAGTCCTAACAGTTCTATCTCCAAATTAGATGACATCTCAGATCAGTTCACTTCTCTCCTCCACCATCACTCAGAGTTCAAGACAACATGGCAGTGGCCCCCACCTCATCCACTCATTCACCATTCTCCAGATGGTGACCAGAGTGAGCTCTGTAAAATGCTGGTCCTCTCATGGCACTCTCTCTTCAACGCCTCATCATGGCCTCCAAACACTATATGCTCTGCCGCCTACCTTCCCTATTACGCTTCGACTCCAGCCACGTTGGCCTTCAGACACTTCCAGAATATTCTATGCTAGTTCCCACCTCCATGTCTTCACAGTTGTTACCCTGTGTCTTGACTCCTCTTCTGGCGCTTGTCCTGGCTGTCTCTTCCCTGTCATTCACACCTCAGCCCACTGTCATTCATCTCCTTTCCTGATGACCTCAGTCAAAGATTCCTAGTCTCTATCATATCACATTTTATCTGCCTCATTAGTACTCATCACTCTTTTGAATGCTATTTGTCAGGGCACCTGGGTGACTCAGTTGGTTGAGCGTCTGACTTTGTCTCAGGTCATGATCTCACAGCTTGTGAGTTCAAGCCCCTCGTCAGGCTCCGTGCTGACACTTCAGAGCCTGGAGCCTACTTCATATTCTGTGTCTCCCTCTCTGTCTGCCCCTCCCCCACACACACTCTGTCTCTCTCTCTCTCAAAAAAGAAGAATAAACATTAAAATAAATAAATGCTATTTGTCTTTCTCATGCAGAATGGAAGCTGCCTGAGGCTAGGTGCCTGATCTATTTTGTTCTCGGATATATCCCCAGTGCCTAGAACAGTACCTAGTATATAGTAGGTATGCAGTAATATTTTTGAACAAACGTATGGGTGAATATATGGAGAATTCCACAGAATTCTAGCTATGTAACCAAGGGCAAGTTAATAAACCTTCTGAGTTTCCTGAAATGGGGATAATATTACCCATAAAGCCAGCTTTTAATAAATATTAATCTGGTGAGCTAATGAATGTGCCTGCTTTATTTTTATTTTTTTTTTAATATTTTATTTTTAAGTAATCTCTGTGCCCAACATGGGGCTCGAACTCACAATCCTGAGATCATGAGTCATGTGTTCCACCCACTGAGCCAGCCAGGTGCCCCAAATGTTCCTGCTTTAAATTTTCAGCATGTTATTTAATTTCTTTGTGCCTCAGTTTCCCTTTCTTTAACACAGAAATAATAAAGGCCTATTCTGGTATTTTTAAAATATTTATTTAATTAATTAATTTTGAGAGGGAGAGACAGAGTACAATTTCGGGAGGGGTATAGAGAGAAGGAGAGAGAGAGAGAGAGAGAGAGAGAGAGAGAGAGAGAGAGAGAGAGAGAGAGAGAATCCCAAGCAGGCTCCACTCTGTCAGTGCACAGAACCCGACGCAAGGCCCAATCCCATAAACTGTGAGATCATGACCTGAGCAGAAATCAAGTCAGAGGCTCAGCTGGCTGAGTCACCCAGGTGTCCCGCATTCTGTTATTTAAAAAGTGTACATATTCGGGGCACCTGGGTGACTCAGTTGGTTAAGTGTCCCACTCTTGATCTTAGCTCAGGTCTTGAACTCAGCTCAGGTCTTGATCTCAGGGTGATGAATTCAAACTGTGTGTTGGGATCTGTATTGGGTGTGAAGCCTACTTAAAAAAAAATTAAAACATGTACATATTTGACTTTTGTTTCTCATTCTTGATACAGAGCCCCTAAAGCCCTTGGAATTTCCTGAGTGACAGGAGTGCCCTTTGTCATTCATAATAAGCCCCTTTAAAGTACACCTGAGTTTATGCTAACAAGGTGACTCAGGGTGGACCTTATATAGTTCAGGATGTGCACTGGTTCCAAAAAGATCACGTCTGTGATTAGAGGTTTGGAACCCCCACCCTGGCTCCCCAGGGAGGTGAGAGGGGCTGGGTTATAAATAATCATGAACAGTGAGATTCAGAGAGCTTCTGGGTTGAACACAAGGAAGTTCTGGGGGGTGGCACATCCATAAAATGTATAGAAGCTCGTTGAACACCCGCACCCCAACATCTTGCTGTATGCATCTCTCCAATTGGCTATTTCTCTCCCTCCCACCCCAAAAATTTGGCTATTTCTAAGTTGTATCCTTTTTTTTTTTAAGTTTATTCCTTTATTTTGAGAGAGCAGGGGGAGGGGCAGAGGGAGAGGGAGAGAGAGAGAATCTCAGGCAGGCTCCACACCACCAGCTAAGAGCTTCGTGCAGGGCTCAGATTCACAAACTGCAAAATCATGACCCAAGTCAAAAGCGAGAGTTGGATGCTTAACCAACTGAGCCACCCAGGTGCCCCCCTGAGTTGTATCCTTTACAATAAATGAGTAAAGGAAAGTAAAGTGTTTTCCTGAGTTCTGTGAGTCATTCCAACAAATTGACAAGCCCGAGGAGGAAGATGAGGGAACCCCCAATGTTTCAGCTGGCCAGTCGGAAGTACAGGTGGCCCCAGGGACATGCAACTGGCATCTGATGTGGGACTGTCCTGTGAGACTGAGCTGTAACCTATAGTGTCTGTGCTAACTCCAGGAGCCAGTGTCAGAATTGAATTGAATAGTTTGAGTACCAGTTGGTGATTGAGAAAGGGGGACTTGGTTGCTGTTGGTGTTAGAAAACACCACACATTTGGTGTCAGAAGTGCTGTCTGGAGAAAACCTCACTCCCATCCCATAAGATTGTGGTGAGAGGAATAAATGAGTTAGGACACATCAAGCCCTTGGAGCAGTGCCCGGTATAGGGGAAGGTCTCAACGGAGGTTTCCTGTACCATGTGTTACCTGTAAGACCCCGGGGACAGGGGAAAAAGAAAGGGGAGTGGTAAGCAAGTCAGTAAGTTGAGGATTCACTGAGGGCTCACTGTTTGCTCAGCTGTGTTCTGAGCTCCCCATGGAGGCCTGAAGTGGAGATGTGGCTTTCAGACACATTCTTGTTCTTGGGAAGTGTGTGCTAGTTGGTGCCCACCACGTACACACACACACACACACACACACACACACACACACACTTTACCAAGACATGTGGAAGGGTCTCTTGGGATGAAGTCAAGAAGTCTTCCTGGAAGAGGAGGGGCTTGGCCCTGACCACCAAGGGCAGATAAATGTCGGGCGTATAGGGGGCAGGGCAGGGGAAAGATGAGGACAGGGAAGGAGCTGCTGGGCTGGGCATCTGAGGTGCCTTTGGAGAGCAAAGTTTCAGGGTAGAGTGTGCTGGCAAAACTAGGCTGGGCAGAGGTCAGATAGGACGAGAGGGGCAGGTATTGAGGGGTGACTCTATGCCTGATGTCCCCCCAGGAGCTCTGGCCGGGCCCAGCCACCGCAGCCCTCTCTCTGGCAGAGCCTGGCTTTCCAGCCTCCTGACTGAGTGTCACTGGAGGGAGGGCCCCCGCTGCCCCAGGCCATCTGCTGTGTTGTTTGGGGCTCTGCCGGACAACAGGTCCAGGTGGAGACGGCCTGGGCCTGCAGGACAGCAGCCGGTCCTGACTGAATTGCAGTGGGGGTGCCAAGGGAAGCACGGCAGCAGGCACAGAAGGGACCCCTGCATATCCCACCACAGCCTTCTCCAGGAAGCGCACCCTTCCAGACTGTCTGCCTGCCCACTCTCTCCTTCCTCGCCTCTACCCTGTGTAAGTCCTGTTTTGGTCATGTCTGTAATACATCTATCCATGAGCTCCCTCATATATGAGGCTAAGCTACCAGAGCTGTGGCTTGACTAAGGGTCTCGAGTCATTCTTTATAAGCCCCAGGATGGTTGCCAGTTTACGGGTGGCATAAAGATGCCAGACTGCTTGTCCAATCCTAGCTCTGGAGCGTATTCTTTGTATGACCTTGGGCATAATCTCTCCTCCTCTGTAAAATGGGATAATACAGGCAGCTACATCATCGGGTTGTTGGGAGGCATTGGTGAGTTACCGCAGGCAGAGCACTTAGAGCCCTGCCTCCGCACCGTGAGTACTAGGTATTATTAGTATTATTGTTATCATTATGTGTCTCTGTTACCAGCTTGAAATGCCTCCATTCGCGCAGAGGGGGTGCTCACTTTACAAAAGCTTTTCCTTTGGGTTAAGCTTATTATTGTTAAAATGCGAAGGCATTCCTGAGTAAAGGGGGTGTTCAGACTCCTTCTCTCCAGCAAGAGCTCCTGAGGCACAGTGGGATGCAGGGCATGTACGGAGGATTGGGAGGAAGCCCAGGAGGGGGAATTGAGAAGTCCCCTATCCAATTTTGGATCATTTCTTCTCTTCCCTGGAACCTTTGCTCCCAGCAAGCCAACCCCTCACCGTCCTTTCCTGCAGGATCCCTCACGCACCAACAGCCCTGAGTAACTCCCTGCATCCTGGATGCCCCTCCTTCCTATTTCTCTGGCCTTTTCCCATGTTCCATCCAAAGTGCCTGACGTATCTGGAAGGCCCCCTGTTGGCATATGCCAGCTCTCTCTTGTCAGCGCTATATTCATTGCTCTGGTTTGCCTATAACTCCAAGCCTTTCCCTAATGCGTGTCTGAACTCCTCAAAAGCTGGGTCTCCCTGCAGCAGCCCATAGGCCTCACACCCCACGAAGTTCCCAGGCTGTAGGGCAGGGGTGGAGTGGCCTGGCCCTGCACTCTTACCTGGGTCTCGGAGAGGTTCAGCTGGCGGGCCAGCTCGGTGCGCTCTCGGCCCACCACATACTGGCAGCGCTGGAACTCCATTTCCAGGCGGTACAGCTGCTCAGCCGTGAAGGATGTGCGGGTCCGCTTGGGCCGGTCCAGGTCCAAACCCTTAGGCAGGACAATCTCCCGGATGGTCCCTTTGGCATCTGCAGGGGCCATGACAAGAGGCAGGTTAGTTCACTAATTAAGGATATAGGCCACCAACAGTCATATTAATAGGAGGCAGTGTGATATAACAGAGAGCTCGTTGAGCCGGGGCCCGGCTCTGTGACCTCTGACAAGTTGCTTACCCTCTCGGGACCTAGCTTCTTTAATCATCCAACGCAGTATATCGTGTCTGTTGGGTATATGTGTGTGAGTGGGCCTTGTTACAAATTTCAAGTCTACCACGTAGCGTGGGCAGAAAGAATTCACTCTGACCCAGCCAGGATTCTGTTTCCTCAGTAGAATAAAAGAATAAATGGAAACAGATATACTAAGTCCTCAAGTGTAGAGGAAAGGACGGGCTAGCATTGGGTATGACCAGGCAGGTAAGGCTTACTGGAGGAGATGTCCTGAGCCAGGTCCTGTGCTGGGTGTGTATGCATGCATGAGCACCTGAGTCCCCAGACCCTCCTGGGTTCCATGAAGAGGCTAGCTGGTAAGGGGCGGAGGGCAGCCTGGGAAGCTGGGGTCCCCAGGAAGGAGTCCAAGGACCATTGCCACTACATCAAGCTGCTGGGGTGCCTTCTACAGAGGAGATTTCTGCCACTCCCCACGTACGTCGTCCTGAACAATAGGCCACCCCCCTGGATCCTAAACCAATGCCATCCATGCACAGAGTCTCCAAAATTTTGGAGGCTACTTAAGAGACATTGAAAATCTTGCAGCCTACGTTCACCAGATACTTCCACTTAAAGAACTGAGAAATGGCAACAAAGTGTTCAGCAAAAGTAAAATATGATTTGGGGGAGGGTGGGCTGTATATATACATCAGCGTTAGCAATAGGGGCAGAGATGATAACATGTTTGAACCACACACTCGGATAGCTGGAAATCTAGTTATTAGTTATTTGTGTCAAAAATTGGCACATGGAAATATGCAGTCTCGTATTCTGTAGGACTTAGCAAACCATTCCCAGCACATGACACTGCTGACAATGAAGCTGAACTAACAGTAGTTTACCATTAGGGAGAAAGATGAGTGTCGGCAGAAAACCCACCAGCTCAAGGCAGCCCTGATCAACCAACGCAGGCACTGCTGATCAAGCACAGGTGACAGAGCAACCCTCCACGGTTGGGGGAGTTTTAACCCTCCCCCGGGGGTCACACATTCTGCTGTGTGGCCAGAAGCGAGTGGCCTGGCTGCTCGTGTTTCAGTCATAAGGAAAGCTGACACCTGGGCCGTGTTTGCTGGAGGCCAGGCACGGTTTTGAGGACTTGAAACTTAACAATGTTCTCAGTGAAGCTGGAACTATTATTAGTCCCATTTTACAGATAGGGAAATGGAGGAACACATTTTAAATAACCTCCCCGAGGTCACACTGACAGTGTTCCATAAGCTCTAGAAACAACCTTATTTTCCTTTACGAATACCCTCTTTTAGCAATGTTTAATGATTCAATGGATAGGTTATAATGAAGAGACCTTTGGTCATGGGTAAAAAAATGGAATCTTCTGGATGGGTTCATCAAGTGCCCTGGAAGACATAGGAAAGGACCTGCATTTGGAATGTTGCTGTCTGCCAGGAGGCTCCTGTGAGCCTCACCACTATAGATTCTACTTTTAGAATCCCTGCTTTAGAGAATGAGTCTAACATCTCTCCCTCCAAATCCTCCACCATATGATTTATGAGAGTGGTTCTTCCTGGCTCCTGCCCCGGCCAGCTAACATTTACTCCTCCACGGTATGTGTTAGCTCCTCCTGGCTTGCAAGTCCTGCCCCTGATCTCAGAGGTTCTCAAGAACCTTTGTGCTCAGTCAACCATGGGAAGAAGATGTGTCTGGGTCAGGGGATGCAGTCACTCTCAGAGGTGGCCCTCCCCCCTACACTGGGCAGAGCACATCAGATGGACATGGGCCCAGCTCTTGGAGTGGAGGTGGAAACCCCACAGGCCTTTTGGGACAACTCAAGCTCTCCCTCTCCGGTACTTTCTACATTCTGAAAAGGTGGGGTAATATTTGCGGCCCCATCAACTGGGTCCCCTTTGCTCAGATCCTGTTATTTCCAACTGTGGGACCAGTCTCAGAACTTCCCTCACAAAACCCAAATGACTCCATATCCAAAGGCACTGATTTTATTAGAAGTGTTTTGGGGGGGTGTGGACTGGAGGAGGGGTGGTGGGTGTTGTATGTGGTGCTGGAAGTTTTACATCCTCTTCCCAGAGAGCCTCCTGGAGCCCACCTAGAGCTCTAAGCCTGTGTTCCAGACCACTGAGGTCAAATCATAGATGTCCCTCGCCCTTTCTTCTTTGTGGAAGAGCTAACACAAGCATTCCTGCCTCAGGGAACAGCCAAGGTTAGCTCTTCCTCTCAGGGTCAAGGAAGGCAGGAATCATATAAGAAAGGCAACTTGCCCGCCAGATATCAAAACGTGCCATAAAAATGAGCATATGAAAAGATATTCAACATCACCAGCCATTAGGGAAAGATGAATTAAAACCACAAGAGACACATATTAGGATAGCTAAAAGAAATAATACTGAGACTGTCAAAAGCTGGTGAGGATACAGAGAAAGTACATCTTTCTACACTGCTGGTGGGAATGTAAATGGTGCAGTCACTCTGGAAAACGACCTGGCAGTTTCTCAAAGAGTTAAACATACACTTACCATAAAACCCAGTGACCACACTCGTGGGCATTTATCCGAGAGAAACAAAATCTTAGGTTCACATCAAAACCTATACATGAATGCTCATAGCTGCTTTATTTATTTATAATAGTCCCTAAATGGAAACAAGCCAAATGTTCAATAGGTGAATGGTTAAGCAAACTGGGGTACAGTTATACTATGGAATATGACTCAGCAATAAAAAGGAATGACTATTGACAGATGTGACAATTTGGGTGAATCTCCAGGGAATTCTACTGAGTGGAGAAAACCAAAGTCAGTTCTCAAGATTATGTACTGCCTGGGTCCATTTATAGAACACTATCACAATGACAAAGTTATAGAGGGAGAGAGCAGATCCATGGTTGCCAGAAGTTAGGTAAGGGAGGGTGTGACTGTCAAGGGGTAGCCTGAGGAAGTTCCTTGATGGTGACAGAACAGTCCTGTATTTTGATCGTGGTAGTGGTCATATAGGTCTATAAATGTGGCTTCATATAAAAGTTTCATAGAACTATATATGAAGACAAAAAATGAGTGCATGGAAAAATGGGTGAAATTCGAGGAAGGTCTGTAGTCTAGTCAATTATATTGTACCAATGTCAATTTCCTGATTTTGACAATGTTTTATAAATACGTAAGTGGCCACCTTCGAGAGAAGGTGATGGGTACACAGGACCTCTCTGCCAAACCTCTCTGTACTATTTTTACAACTTCTTGTGAGTCTAAAATGATTTCAAAATAAGACATCAACAACAACAGAACATACCATGAAGCTACAATGAGGTTTTGTCACAGAGATGAACAAATCCATTAGTGGAAAAAGTAACAACAGCATTTCCCTAAAGTGCCTCTGCATTCCACTTGTGGTCTGTAAGATGATTTTAAATGCTACATAAACATTTGTTACTTCAAAAGTTATGCACTTATTTTAATGTTTACTAGAAAAAAATTTAAACCTATGATTTTATGTGCTTAGGATGATGCAGAAGTAGGTATTTAATTTTAAAATGTATTACACTTGGGGTGCCTGGGTGGCTCAGTCGATTAGGCGTCCAACTTTGGCTCAGGTCATGATCTCGCGGTTTGTGAGTTTGACCCCTGTGTCAGGCTCTGTGCTGACAGCTCAGAGCCTGGAGCCTACTTCAGATTCTGTGTCTTCCTCTGTCTCTCTCTGCCCCTCTCCTGTTTGAACTATGTCTCTCTCTCTCTCAAGAATAGATAAACATTAAAAATTTTCTTAAATGTATTATGCTAAAATATTAAGTAAATAAATGGAACATAACAGAAATGGTGAATATTCAAGTGATTGAAATGTGGGAAACAATGGAATCAAGAGTGCACAATTAGACCCACTATATGTATTGATAGGATTTATGATAACAGGAACATTCTAAATGGAGAAAGATCAGCGTAGTCAATAAATGGAGTTACGTAGATTGGTAACCATAAATTACCTATTTGTAATAAAATTAAGTTAAATTCCTGTCTTTCATCATAAATGACAAGTTTCAAATGGATTAGAGGGAAAATCATAGGCCATAAAATGATAAAAGCACTAAAAGAAAATACAGGATGAGGGGCACCTGGGTGGCTCAATCAGTTAAGCATCTGACTTTGGCTCAGGTCATGAACTCAGAATTCATGAGTTCAAGCCCCGCATTGGGCTCTGTGCTGACAGCCCAGAGTCTGGAGCCTGCTTCGGATTCTGTGTCTCCCCCTCTCTCTGCCCCTCCCCTGCTCATGCTCTGTCTCTCTCTGTCTCAAAAATAAATAAAAACTTTAAAAAATTAAAAAAAAAGAAAACATAGGATGATATTTTTATAATCCTAAGCTTGGGAAGAACAAGATATAAAACTGGAGCCATAAAGACAAAGGATATATGGAGACATATAGACAAAGGATATAACCAACTATATTAAAGCTAAACCCTTTTGTATGACAAAAGTACCAAAGCCAAAGTAAAATGAAACAAACTTGAAGGAAAAACTTTAAAAAGATAAAGAAATGAGAAATAATGCAACTATAAATAAATGATTTTTTAAAAGGGAAATAGTCCAGGAGGAAAAATGGTCAAATAATTTAAGTGGGCCATTCCCAGAAAAAGATGCCAAATGACCAGTAAACACATGAAAAATGAGTACAGCTTCACAGAAATCAGGATGATGTAAACTCACACAACAATAGAAAATCATTTCTTTCCTGGAGGATTGGAAAGACATTAATAAATGATTAATAGATCAATGGTGAGCTGTAGGGGATTCCACACTCCCATTCAATGTTGGTAGGGTGGTAGGGCCGTAAATTGTCACCACCTTTTAAGGTTGCATTTGTCAACCT